TTTTTTGAGACGGAGTCTCGCTCTGTCGCCCAGGCTGGAGTGCAGTGGCCGGATCTCAGCTCGCTGCAAGTTCCACCTCCCAGGCTTACGCCATTCTCCTGCCTCAGCCTCCTGAGTAGCTGGGACTACAGGCACCCGCCACCACGCCCGGCTAGTTTTTTAAAAATATTTTTTAGTAGAGACGGGGTTTCACCATGTTAGCCAGGATGGTCTCAATCTCCTGACCTTGTGATCCGCCCGTCTCGGTCTCCCAAAGTGCCGGGATTACAAGCTTGAGCCACCGCGCCCGGCCGCTTTTTGTTTTTTAAGAAACAGATCTCGCTCTGTTACCCAGGCTGGAGTGCAGTGGCGTGATCGGAGCTCACTGACCCTCAGACCCCCGGGCCCAAGCGATCCTCCCGTCTCAGCCTCCCGAGTAGCTGGGACTACAGGCGCCCACCACCACACCCAGCTAATTGTTAACTTTTTGTAGCAATGAGGGGGTCTCGCTATGTTGGCCAGGCTGGTCTTGAACTCCTGGGTTCAAGCGATCCTCCCACCTCAGTCTCCCAGAGTGCCGGGATTACAGGTTCACTCTAATCTTTGAATGCTTTTCTATTGTGGTAAAATCCACATCACACAACACTGAGCATGTTAACCTGTCTAAGTGCACAGTTCAGGGGCACACAGCACGTTCACACAGTTGTGCCAACAACACCCCTGTCATCTCCAGAGCTGTCTCATCTTCCCAGACAGAAACTGTCCCGATTAAGCAAACTCCTCATTTTGTTTCATGGACCCACGCGTGCCCGCCCTGTCTCTGTGGATTGGCCTGTGCTGGACAGTTCACAGAAATGGAGTCGCACACCGTGTGACCTTTTGTGTCTGGCTGATCCACTCGGCCTGAGGGTTTCCTTTTGCTGGGGCATAGAGTACTGACTCCATATAGGAAATGTGAGCCTCGCACCTGTGGGTTGCAAAGTGTCCCAGTACAACGAGCACCTAGGAACCTGCCCTCTGCTTTTTTTTTTTTTTTGGAGACCAAGTCTCACTCTGTCGCCCAGGCTGGAGTATGGCGGTGTGATCTCGGCTCACAGCAACCTCTGCCTCCCAGGTTCACGCCATTCTCCTGCCTCAGCCTTCCAAGTACCGGAACTACAGGAATATACCACCACACCGAGCTAATTTTTATTATTATTATTATTATTATTATTGTTATTAATTATTTTGAGACGGAGTCTTGCTCTGTCTCCCCGGCTAGAGTTCAGTGAGATAATCTCGGCTCACTGCAATCTCCATCTCCCGGGTTCAAGCGATTCTCCTGCCTCAGCCTCCCGTGTAGCTAAGACTGCAGGCACCCGCCACCATGCCCGGCTAATTTTTATATTTTTAGTAGAGATAGGTTTTCGCCATGTTGGCCAGGCTGGTCTCAAACTCCTGACCTCAAGTGATCTGCCCGCCTCGGCCTCCCAAAATGCTGGGATTACAGGCGTGAGCCACCGCGCCCGGCCAGTTTGTGATCTCACAGTGTCTCATTTCATCCCGCAAGCGCCTCCCACAGAGTCGCCTGGTCCCATTTCATGGATGAGGATGCCGAGGCACAGAGGGGATCTGCAAATGGCAGGGTCCCTGTCGCTCAGGAGCGAGGCAGCTGGGGTACCCCGCGTCTCTCCACTGACGGCTCACGTCTGTGACTTTGTCCCCACAGCAGCGTTGCCCCCCCGGCTCGGGTCCTGAAAGGCGTCATGCGGGTGGGCATCCTGGCGAAAGGCCTCCTCCTGCGCGGGGACAGGAACGTGCGCCTCGCTCTGCTCTGTTCCAAGAAGCCCACGCACAGCCTGCTGCGGAGGATCGCCCAGCAGCTGCCCCGGCAGCTCCAGGTAAGGTCAGGACCCCGCCCATCGCTGCTCCAGGCGTCTGGCTGCCAGCCCTCTCCTCGCAGGAACCTCTGTTACTAAACGACTTTAAGATACAAGAAGCATTAAGCCAGGCACAGCGGCTCACGTCTATAATCTCAGCACTTTGGGAGGCTGAGGTGGGTGGATCACTTGAAGTCAGGAGTTTGAAACCAGCCTGCCCAACATGGTGAAACCCCATCTCTACTAAAAATACAGAAATTAGCCAGGCCTGGTGGCTCATGCCTGTAATCCCAGCTACGTGGGAGGCTGAAGTGAGAGAATCACTTGAACCCAGGAGGCGGAGGTTGTACTGAGTTGAGATTGCGCTGCTGCACTGCAGCCTGGGCAACAGAGCGAGACTCCGTCTCAAAAAAAAAAAAAGTAAATGATGATTAAAGCTGCACAGAAAACATTTGCAGCGATGATGACTAGGAAGCCGTAAGAAAAGGCAAAAACCCAATTTCAATTTTAGGGCTGTGAGATGTCAACTGAACTTTTTCCTCTAGAGAATTTTCATATACTCTTCTCACACTGGAGGATTTAAATTGATCATCTTAGGTTTAAAAAGAAAAATCGGGCTGGGAATGGTGGTTCATGCCTGTAATCCCAACACTTTGGGAGGCTGAGGCGGTTGGATCACCTGAGGTCAGGAGTTCAAGACCAACCTGGCCATCATAGTAAAACCGTGTCTCTACTGAAAATAGAAAAATTAGCCAGGCGTGGTGGTGGGCACCTGTAATCCCAGCTACTCAGGAGGCTGAGGCAGAGGAACCATTTGAGCCCTGGAGGCAGAGGTTGCAGTGAGCAGAGATCGTGCCACTGCACTCCAGCCTGGGCCACAGAGTAAGACTCTGTCTTAAAAAAAAAAAAAAAAAGAAAGAAAGAAAGAAAAATGAAAAATTGGTCCCCAGAGTCGTTCCTTCTTCCTGAGCGTCTGTCACCATCCCTGGGATAACTCAGCCTTACTCCTTTGACTTTTCCAGTGGACATTGGATGCCCAGGGGATGGGCAGCGCCTGGTCAGGGAGACAGTGTTCCCCATAGAAGGACCAGCACCTGCAGAGGCCAAAAGCAGGAGGCCCAGAGCAAGGAGGGGTGGGCATGAGGGAATGAGGGGGCGCCTGGATCAAGCTGGGCCTGAAGGCCATACCAGGAGCTAGGATTGCATTCTCAGGGAAGTGGGGAGGCTGGAGGGTTTTGAGCAGGGGAGTGACATGCTCTGACTTCCATGATGGCATCTCACATTTCCTGCACACCTACAACATGTCAGTGGCTACAACGTGACAGATACAGCCGCTGCTTTCTGGAAGACTTGCAGCCCGGTAGCAGAGACAATAACTGAGTACCATGAGAATGGCTAAGGCTGTGGGGAAGCTGGCAGCCTCCACCCCAGTCATGTCAACAGAGCCCCTGGGGGCTGACTTGCAGCAAGGAGGCCCTGAGAAGGGAAGGGATGGAAGATCGGGGAGAGAGGGGAGAGAGGGTGGGTTTCAGGTGGGAAGCCAGGCTCAGGTGTGAGCACAGGCCGCATGGAGGGTGATGACCATGGACAGGAAGAGCAGACCGTGACACAGACCTCTTGAACTATGTCCTTCCAACAGGAGATGGTGGCATCTCATTAGTTTTAATTTACTCCTCCCTGACTATGGGGTAATGTGTGTCATTGTGTAAAAAGGGCCATTTGTGTTTCTTTTACTGCCAAGTATCTGTTACTTCACTCACCAATTTTTTATTGGATTGCTGATCTTCTTGTTATTGAATTATAGGTGTTCTTTACATATGGAAGCTCCTTATATCACAGGGTCTGTTGTCTGTACATATCTCTACATGTGTGTGCTCCTAGAGGGCTGCAGCTGTCTCTTGGTCACTTGGAGGTTTCAGACATGGGGCACAGGGCCTGGCATCCTGGCAGCAAGTGTGGAAGGGCCAACAGGATTAACTTACACACACCAACCACGTCCTGGCTGAGTTACACATGAATCTGGGCTGCAGTAAGGTGGCCTCGTGTTGTATTTATCCCTCCCAGATGGTGACCGAGGATGAGTATGAGGTCTCCTCTGACCCTGAAGCCAACATTGTCATCTCCTCCTGCGAGGAGCCCAGGATGCAGGTCACCGTATCCATCACCTCACCCCTGATGCGAGAGGACCCCTCCACCGACCCAGGTGCGGCACAGCCCTTCCTTCCAACCACTGTCCCCCCGCACGCTTCCCGAGGGCGCTCCCCACACCCAGGCCTGGGGCAGTGTCCGCCTCTGCCCTGAGCAGGAAATGCCACAGCAGCCACACTCCAGCACTGGTGCCCCCGAGGATTCCATGGGTCACACAAGAGCTGGGTCTCCGGGCAGCAGAGGAGGCGAGTCGGTGACAGCGTCAGATGGGCTCACAGCCTGGCTGCAGGGGCCGTGCTCGGGCAAGTGACACCGTGTCACCTCTCTTGCCCTGACCCAGGGCTGGCACCTGCTTCTCCGGTCCTGGCGACACCAGCCCCAGTGACAATGGACAGGTCTGAGCCATTTCCCCCGGGTCACAGCAGAAGCTCAGTTTGACTCTGTCCGTCAGTCACCGCAGTCCCAGTACCACTGATTAGAAACCTGGGGGATCGGGGGGCTTAAAGCCAGACCTGCCGGGCCTGGGAGGGTGGGTGAGGGGCTGGGCCAGGCTGGGGGCAGCGAGGGTCTTGGCCAGCAGCCACAGCGGAGGCAGCCATTGGTAACACACTGCACGTCTTTGCTCCCGAAGTCTCAGCCAGCTGTGGAATCTTCCAGAACAGTCTCTAGGGCAGTTTTCCAAACTCTATCATCTTTCACCCCCTTTATAATCTTTTTTGGTCATAACTGAGGGCCATGACCTACTGAGGTTTCTCTTTCCCTCGATTTGGTATTTTTTGTTGGTTTGTTTTTTGAAACAGAGTCTTGCTCTGTCGCCCAGGCTGGAGTGCAGTGGCGCGATCTTGGGTCACTGCAGCCTCCACCACCTGGGTTCCAGCAATTCTCCTGCCTCAGCCCCTGAGTAGCTAGGACTACCAGTGTGCGCCACCACACCCAGTTAATTTTTTTGTATTTTTAGTAGAGATGGGGTTTCACCAGGTTGGCCAGGTTGGTCTCGAACTCCTGACCTCAGGTGATCCGCCCACCTCAGCCTCCCAAAGTGCTGGGATTACAGGCGTCAGCCACCACGCCCGGCCCAATTTGTTTTTTAAAGCTTCAGGGTTTTTTTTGTTTTTTTGTTTTTTTTTTTTTAAAGAAGAGCCTTTGAATCATTAAATGGAAAGCCACGATTGGTCCTCGCAAATAGTCATCTAAAAAAGTACAGTGTGGGGAAGAGAGTGGCTTTCAGCGCTAGCCGAAGGCTCTGACACAAATGCGGAGGAGGCTGGGGAGTGGCGCCGTGGTGGGGGCGGGTTAAGGGTTGGCGGCCACTAGACAGCGGCTCTTTCCTGGCTTGGGTGGGTGATGAAGTAAGCGGAAATCCTGTGAGGACTGATCAGCGACCGAAGACCCGTGAGCCACCCCCCAGGAAACTGCACTTCCTGTTGGCCTTTTCCTGCCCCCATTTCCCCTCCCTAGGCCCAGCGTGGTGGGTGGGAGGTGAGCTTCTAAAACTCCCTTTCTAGGTCGGGCACAGCAGCCCACCTCTCTAATCCCAGCACTTTTGGAGGTCGAAGTGGGAGGATCGCTTGAGCCCAGAAATTTGAGACCAGCCTGGGCAACGTAGTGAGACCCCATCTCTAAAAAAAGAAAATTTGGCCAGGCTCAGTGGCTCACACCTGTAATCCCAGCACTTTGGGAGGCCGACGCTGGCAGATCACCTGAGGTCAGGGGTTCGAGACCAGCCTGACCAACATGGTGAAACCCTATCACTACTAAAATTACAAAAATTAGCTGGGCATGGTAGCACATGCCTGTAGTCCCAGCTACTCAGGAGGTTGAGGCAGAATTGCTTGAACCCAAGAGGCGGAGGTTGCAGTGAGCCAAGATTGCGCCACTGCACTCTAGCCTGGGAGACAGAGCAAGACTCCGTGAAAAAAAAAAAAAAAAAAACCGTTCCTCATATATACCTCTGCCATTTCCCTCTCTGCCCCAAAGGAGTCATTTCCCTGACAGATCAGCGGGGATGGTTGTGAACCAGTGGGAAACCTGGGCACCATCCCCTGACCTAAATGAACCAGGCCCTCCCACAGTGTTGTATGTAATGAAATAAGAAAAATATCCTGTTTTGGTTTTTGGTGTGTCACTGTAGTCCAGGCTGGAGCGCAGTGGTGCAGTCATAGCTCACTGCAGCCTTGACCACCCGGGCTCCAGCAGTCCTCCTGCCTCAGCCTCCCCATTGGCTGGGACCACAGGTGTGTGCCATCATGCCTGGCTAATTTTATTTTTTGTGGAGAGAGGGTCTCGCCATGTTGCCCAGGCTGATCTCAAACTCCTGGGCTCAAACAATCCTCTTGCCTCAGCCTCCCAAAGTGCTGGGATTCCAGGAATGAACCACTGTTTTCCAGTTGAGAAAAATATTCTTTTTTTTTCTTTTTTTTTTTTTTTTTGAGATACAGTCTCACTCTGTCGCACAGGCTGGAGTGCAGTGGCACGATATTGGCTCACTGCAACTTCCACCTCCCGAGTCCAAGCAATTCTCCTGCCTCAGCCTCCCGAGGAGCTGGGATTACAGGCGTGCACCACCATGTCCAGCTAATCTTTGTATTTTTAGTAGAGACAGGGTTTCGATATGTTGACCAGGCTGGTCTTGAACTCCTGACCTCATGATCCGCCCACCTTGGCCTCCCAAAGTGCTGGGATTACAGGTGTGAGCCACCGCGCCCAACCGAGAAAAATATTCTTGAAGGAAAATAATAACCCGGGAGGGAAAAGGGACCCACATCTCTCCCAGACTCTGGGGCCATTGTGGTCAACAACAGGACGTGTTGAAATCTGACCCACTTTCTCCCTTTTATGATGCATGTGGAAGTTTCTAGAAATCTGGCTTAATTCCTAGTTTCCCATCTTCTCCCTCATCGGCTAAGCGAGAGTGTCAGGGCTGAAATCCCTCAGTAGCAATAGGTAAGCTCAGAACTTCCCAGAAGATGAGGTTTTCCAGGAACGGTTTGTCTGGTCCTCACTGTGTCTTAGCAGGACAATTTGGGAGGAACCCTCATTCCCCAGATGGATAAAACGAGGCCTAAAGGATTGAGACCGGGCGCGGTGGCTCACGCCTGTAATCCCAGCACTCTGGAAGGCCGAGGTGGGAGGATCACCTGAGGTCAAGAGTTCAAGACCAGCCTGGCCAACATGGTGAAACCCCGTTTCTACTAAAAATGCAACAATTAGCCAGATGTGGTGGCGGGCACCTGTAATCTCAGCTACTTGGGAGGCTGAGGCAGGAGAATCACTTGAACCCAGGAAATGGAGGTTGCAGTGAGCCAAGATCGTGCCACTGCACTCCAGCCTGGGTGACAGAGTGAGACTCTGTCTCAAAAAAGAAAGGATTGAGGGGCCCAAATCGAGCCCCTCACCCCATCGGCAGCAGAGCGGGATAAGGTGCCTTCCCCGCACACCTTGAGGTTTTTCTTCTAGAAGGCGTGGAGAAGCCTCAGGCTGACCCAGGTGATGTCCTGAGCTCCGAGAAGTGCCTCGAGTCCCTGGCCGCCCTCCGTCATGCCCGGTGGTTTCAGGTCAGGGGGGCAGGGGTGGAACATGGGGAGAGGGGTGACTTTGAGGAACGTGTCTCAGAGGCACCAGCCTGAGCCGGCGCGGCCGCCTCAGCCTCGTGGGCTCGCAGACCAGGACGCCCTCCATCAGCTTCCTGGCTGAGCACTGACTTGACAACCAACGCTGGCTCCCGGCTGATGGGGTCAGGAAACGTGGAAGGAGTGGGTGCTGTCCTGGGGGTGGGGACGCTGCCATCCCGTGGCCACACAACGGCCTGGTGGCACCGGCCTCATCTGGAAGTGGACTCTGCTTCCACTTGCCACCTTCGAGGCCGCCAGGGCTCCCCATTGTCCTCCCCGGGGTTCATGCTCACGACGCCATACCATGTGGCCGTGTGAGCCCCCGAAAGTGAACCGTGTGCTTCTCCCCCGAAGGCTCGAGCCAGCAGCCTGCAGCCATGCGTGATCGTCATCAGGGTCCTGAGGGACCTCTGCCGGCGTGTGCCCACCTGGGCAGCCCTGCCAGCCTGGGTAAGGCAGTGCCTGGCAGCCCAGCCCTCCACTGGGACCCCCGAGGGGCTCCGTGGCCGTGACAGGCCCAGGTCGAGAGACAAACCCTTTCCCGTGAAGGAGCCGGCGGGAGACGTAGCACTCAAGAGAGGCCGTGGGAGTCCCTGAGGTCCCCTGGGCGGGGGAGACGGCCCTCTCCACAGCCTCATTTGACTACCATTATTCAAAACCCAGAACCTCGCATGAAAATGCGGGACCGGCCAGGGAAATGTGCGGTGTCTACCCGACTTCGTGGCGCCAGGGCAGAGGGGCGGAAGCTGGACTCCCCATCCTGGCTGCACACCGGCCTCTGGCTGACCCAGCCCAGACCCACCTGCTTTGGAGAGGAGACCCCCTGTGGCTCTCACACCACCCCCCGCCTGTCCTGGTAGAAAGAGGAGGGAGAAGCAGCAGCAGAACCCCCCACACACAAGCTTCATGGAGCAGGCCCCAAGCCCATGCCCCCCACAGAGACCCCAGGAACCCATCCAGTCCCCAGACCTTCTCCACCAGCCACAAGCCAGCCAGCCACACCCAGCCTCCTCCCCTGCCCTGCGGGTGTACCCATCCCACCCTGCAGTGGCGTCCCCCATCCTGTGCTGCAGTGGTGTCCCCCCATCCCACAGTGGAGTGGCGTCCCCCATCCTGTGCTGCAGTGGTGTCCCCCCATCCCACAGTGGAGTGGCGTCCCCCATCCTGTGCTGCAGTGGTGTCCCCCCATCCCACAGTGGAGTGGCGTCCCCCATCCTGTGCTGCAGTGGTGTCCCCCCATCCCACACTGGAGTGGTGTCCCCCCATCCCACCCTGCAGTGGTGTCTTGCCTGTGGTCCCCGCCACCAGGCCCGTGTCCTTCATCCACACCCACCCGCTGCCCAGCGTCCAGAATGCAGCGTGGTGCAGAGGCTGTTTGTTTTGGTAGAGATTAAGTCTCTTTTTTACTTTTATTTTTGTAGTCATTTTTTTGAGACAGAGTCTTGCTCTGCCGCCCAGGCTGGAGTGCAGTGGCGCGATCTCGGCTCACTGCAAGCTCTGCCTCCCGGGTTCAGGCCATTCTCCTGCCTCAGCCTCCCGAGTAGCTGGGACTACAGGCGCTCGCCACAATGCCCGGCTAAATTTTTGCATTTTTAGTAGAGACGGGGTTTCACCGTGTTAGCCAGGATAGGATGGTCTCGATCTCCTGACCTCGTGATCTGCCCGCCTCGGCCTCCCAAAGTGCTGGGATTACATAATTTTTGTATTTTTAGTAGAGATGGGGTTTGGCCATGTTGGCCAGGCTGATCATGAACTCCTGACCTCAAGTGATCCGCCCGCCTCAGCCTCCCAAAGTGCTGGGATTACAGGCGTGAGCCACCGCGCCCGGCCTTTCACACCCATTGTTTGGGGGAAACGTCTTCTCCACTCCTGGGAGGAGGTCACAGCAGCTAGCTCCGTGCTGGGTGACCAGCGTGTGGCTGTCCCGACGTGGAGAAAACCTGTGTTCCCTGAGACCTGTTTTCCGGCTGTGGCTGAAGAGGCGGCCACACAGTGCCGTGGAGGCCAGCATTGCCCCATCCCCTCCTGCCCTCGGGAGCTGGCCACACGGGGACGTGGTGGGGTAGGGTGGCTCCTTCCCCTCAGCTGAGGCGGGCCCCACGCGGCAGACAGTGTGCGTGACACTGGTGTGTGACGTTACTGTGGACCAACTGGGGAAACTGAAGCTCAGAGGGGTGGAGAAACCAGCCCATATGGGAGGCTGAGGCAGGAGAATCACCTGAACCTGGGAGGTGGAGCTTGCAGTGAGCCGAGACTGCACCACTGCACTCCAGCCTGGGCGACAGAGCAAGACTCTGCTCTCAAAAAAAAAAAAAAAGAAACCAGCTCGTGGCCGTGCCAGGAGGTGGCAGAGCCACGCCACGGGCCGCCCTCCTCGGCGGAAGTTCAGTGGGTGGTGGGAGTTAGAGAAAGAGCTGAGGGGGCCTCCTATCCCAGGGACCCCAGGACCTCCCCGGCAGACAGGGGCTGCGGCACCCCCCAAAAGCACAGCAGCCGCTCTTCTGTCCCCACCAGGCCATGGAGCTGCTGGTGGAGAAGGCTGTGAGCAGTGCGGCGGGGCCCCTGGGCCCTGGGGACGCGGTCAGGCGAGTCCTGGAGTGCGTGGCCACCGGAACGCTCCTGACAGGTCAGTCGCCGGGCCGGAGGGCCCAGAAGGTGGGCAGCAAACTCATGGCCGTGGTACAAACAGCTGGGGTCACAGACACAGAGGAAGTGTCCAACCCAGGCACGAGAGCGGCCCACGACACACACATGCTCCCAGCAGGAAGGCAGACGGGGCCGCGGCCATGGAGGACACCACCCTGCACGCAGGGCACAGACACACAGGTCCCCGAAGGGAGGTCTCAGCCTCCACCCAGGAGACAACGGTTATGTTATCTGGTGGCCACCCCGGCGCCTGTCCTCCAAAGATTATCCAGAGGGAACAGCCAGGAGCTCAGATGACAGGGGGTGCGGAGTTGCCCAGCACAGTGCGTTCTACACCAGCAGAGAGAAGAGAACGCGGCAGGACACACTCGTGTGAGAGGGTGGCGGTCAGATATGGAAAAGGGTGTTTTTGAGTCATTTTTAGTGACATAGGATATCAAGTGAAAAGGGAGCATAAAGCTTTGGGCCCGTTGCCTGAGCCATTATGTAAAGCACACGTGTGGGTACGCACACGCACACGCACGGACATGAGTGCACATACAGGCATGCACGGACATACTTGCACACACGGGCACACACAGACATGAATGCATGCACAGACACACGGACATGCATGCACACAGATGAGTGCACACACGGGCACACATGCACATACACCCGTGGGCACACACGTGCACAGATGGACACGCATGGGCACATGGGCGCACATGGGCCCACATGGACACACACATCAGCATACATGTGCATATGCACGGGTGCACACAGACACACACACACACAAAGCCCAGGAGGTGCTGGCAGCCCAACGGGCTTTGAGGGGCTGGGAGGACTCCCTCATGAGCCCGGGTGAAACCCTGACCTGCTGAGAGAGGCCTGAGGGTCAGAGGCTGCAAGTATAGCCCTCTGCACGGGCCCCTGGGGCCCCATGGTGTCGAGGGACGGCCCTGTCACCGTCTTTCACGAGGGCATTCTCGCCTTCTTTGCTGTTCCCACTCCCCCTCACAAAGATGGGCCCGGACTCCAGGATCCCTGCGAGAGAGACCAGACAGACGCCCTCGAGCCCATGACCCTCCAAGAGCGGGAAGACGTGACCGCCAGCGCCCAGGTAGGAGGGCCAAGTCCACGGCAGGGGTGACACCCAGGTCCCAGCTCCAGCTTGCAGCTGTGCAGTGTTCCCCGAAATGGCCCAGGTTCCACCTTCTCTCCCTCCTACTGAGATGTACAGGAACAGGAGGGTGGCCTGTGGGTGGCAGGACCGTGCATGGGGACAGGGCCAGCCTGGCATGGTGGCATGGGGCTGGCAGCTCAGAGCCAAAGCCACCACTGCAACGAGGCCCAGACCTCAAGTCTCACGGGCAGGGACTGTCCTCCCTCCACATCGCTGACCATGGTCCTAGAAGCCCAGCTGTAGCCAGCAGCTCGGCCTGTCCAGCCCTCACCTGTGGTTTTCTTGTTTGCAAATTTGTTTATAAGAAAAATCTCCCAGCAGCACGAAAACCAAACCACAGCGGGTCTGACGTTTCTGAATTTTGCTTTTAAAGGGATCAGTGAAATGGCTCGCGGTGCAGGATGTGGGGTCCTGCAGTGAGGTGGAAAGAGCTGGTGGTCAGTGGAGTGGGGGGCCTCCTGGGACAGTTCTTGCAGTCAGCTAGCACCAAGCGAAAATTCCTCAGACCCTGCGGTGGCCCAAGCTCAGCAGTCGTAAGAAGCCGTGTCGGCCAGGCCGGGTGGCTCGCACCTGTCATCCCAGCACTTTGGGAGGCCGAGGCGGGCGGATCACAAGGTCAGGAGTTCGAGACCAGCCTGGCCAACATAGTGAAACCCTGCCTCTACTAAAAATACAAAATTAGCCAGATGTGGTGGCACATGCCTGTAATCCCACCTACTCAGGAGGCTGAGGCAGGAGAATCACTTGAACCCGGGAGGCGGAGGTTGCAATGAGCTGAGATTGCGCCACTGAACTCCAGCCTGGGTAACAGAGCAAACTCTGTCTCCAAAAAAAAGGTAGGAGGAGTGTCTCGAGGGACACAGGATAGGCCTGGCCCATCTGCTAGTGGCTACAGATGCCAGCCCCTCTGTGTCCTCAGCACTCGGGGAGCAGGGTGGGCGGGGGTCCTGATGGGCTGTATGTGCCCCGCAGCACGCCCTGAGAATGCTGGCCTTCCGGCAGACCCACAAGGTCCTGGGCATGGATCTCCTGCCACCCAGACACCGGCTTGGGGCCCGCTTCCGGAAGAGGCAGCGGGGACCTGGCGAGGCCGAGGAGGGCCCAGGGGAGAAGAAGCGGGGCCAGCGGGATGGAGAGGGGCTCGTGTGAGCCACCTGCCTCCCCAGCCTGCGGGCCTTCGCATCCCTGCACTCCTGGACGTGTGCCCACTGACCAATGGCAGCATCATCCCTGACGTTGGACGACGGTCATTTCCTTTTGAGTAACGCTCTGTAGGTTTCTTTTAAAACACTTGTGCTTCAGGCCGGGCACCATGGCTCATGCCTTTAATCCCAGCACTTTGGGAGGCTGAGTTGCTTGAGCCTGAGAGTTCAAGGCCAGCCTAGATGACAGAGTGAGACCCCCCATCTCTCCAAAATATTTTTAAAAATCAGCTTGGCGTGGTTGGTGGCCAGGCGCAGTAATTCATGCCTGTAATCCCAGCACTTTGAGAGGCCGAGGTGGGCAGATCACCTGAGGTCAGGAGTTCAAGACCAGCCTGGCCAACATGGCGAAACCCTGTCTCTAGTAAAAAAAAAAAAAACAACACAGATTAGCCTGGAGTGTTGGTGTGTACCTGTAGTCCCAGCTACTTAGTAGGGAGGCTGAGTCTGGAGGATTCCTTGAGGCCAGGAGGGCAGTGAGCTGTGATTGCACCATGGCACTCCAGCCTGGGGAACAGAAGACCTTGTCACTTAAAAGAAATTTTTTTTAACATTTGTGCTTAAATTGTTAGAGAAATGACACCATCCAGCCCCGGGAGTAGCACCCCCTCCTGGAGGGCCTGGTCCCCCACGGCCAGGTGGGCCAGCAGTATAGCAAGCAGATTCTAAACTGGGGAGTTTCTCGCTGACTCTAACCTCACCTTGTTTAGGAAGGGGTGAATTTAAAATACCTCCTTTGGGCCGGGCGTGGTGGCACATGCCTACAATCCCAGCACTTCGGGAGGCCAAGCTTGGTGGATCGCTTGAGCCGAGGAGTTTGAGATCAGTCTGGGCAATATGGTGACACCCCATCTTTACAAACAATTAGCCAGATGTGGTGGCCCAAGCCTGTAGTCCCAGCTACTCAGGAGGCTGAGGCTGTAGGATCCCTTGAGCCCAGGAGGTCGAGGTTGCAGTGAGTCGAGATTGCACTACTGAACTCCAGCCTGGGTTACAGAGCGAGACCCTGTCTCAAACAAACAAACAAACTTTCTTTGGATGCCTCTGCGGCATGGATTTGAAATCAGGCCCTGTTCTGGGGCCCTACCACGTGTGCAGGACAAGCCCAGGGGAGCACCCAGCTGGCATCCCCGCGTCCCCAGCCCGGCCTGCTCCAACAGACACTTCCACAACCGGGGTGTCAGCAGGGCCTGAGCCAGGCTTGTCCCCTGTTGGGAGGGCCACAGGGCCAGGTGGACACAGCCGACGGGCGATGAGGATCCTGGCTGGGCCTCCCCCCGGAACAGCTGTGCCCGACAGTCAGACCCGGAGCCCAGAGGCACCCCCACCTGCCCTGAGCCCCGTACTACTGAGTGCCTTTCACAGAGACAACCTGCTCTGCCATGTGTCGCTGAGGCCTGGAGTTTAGCTTTCATCCTTCCTCCCTCCCTCCCTGATGTACGCCTCGGCTGGCCCTGAGGCAGGGGGTCCCCAAATACCCCCTTGTGGGAGCAGGGCCCAGGACCCGTGCCTGGGGGACCCAGGGAGGTGCCACCATCCTATGGATGCTGGCCATGGTGGGCAGGCGCCTCCTGGCACTGACGGATGTGAGGGCACCCCCTTCTGAGCCCCCCACCCCCACCTGTTCAAACCTCCCGCTTGGTCAGTTTTTCTGGCCAGCTGCCCAGTGGCATTGAATGAGAAGAGTCCACCTTTGGGCATATGTGGGCTCCAGCCACTGGCTTGGTTTTGTTTCTCCGTGTTTGAAGGACAGGCTGCGTGTGGCTCTGTCTCAATGTCTTTGTAGAGCTACCTGGAAACTGGGAGGCGGGGGAAATAAAGGAAATCATTTGTCTTCCGTGTGAGCCATGCCGTCCTTCCCGTGGGATGTAGGTGACCCCAAATGCTGGCCTCTTCACCTCCTTCTCAGGGTCCTGGGTGGGGGTCTCCCAGAAACTGCAGCCTGAATGTGGACTGGGAGGGGCCCAAGGGGCTGGCACTGCTCAGTGGCTGCTCCCCAAGGCATGGGCATCCTCAGGCTGTCCCCTCACAAGGGTCCCCTGGGAACACAGACACACCGGCTGAGAATCACCCGTCCCAACGTCTCCCATAACCCAGCTCTCTGCCTCGGTCCTTGAGGGTTCCCCTGGCCCCATCCTAGAGACACACAGTGAGATGCTCCGGAGGCTCCCCGAGGGCTTCCTGGAGGAGGAGGTAACTACACTGAGTTTGGAAGAGATGTCTCTGCCCACAGAGTACTTCCCCCGCCACGTTCCCAAACCCTCAGAAGGCAGGCGGAGGGTGTTCAGATGCTAAGGCCTGGTCACGGTGGAAGAGTTTCGTGACAGCTTCCGGCCCAGAGGACTTCCCTGGCAGTGTTTGTCGGGGCAGGTGGGGAGCAGAGTGGGGAGGAGGCAGATGCAGGGTGGGGGCGGCGGGACGGGAGTGGCAGGGGCTAGGTGTGGAGGGACTGCTGTTTCATGCCTAGACCAAAGGAAGGGGGTGGGGAGCCACCGAGGGGTCCCCTTCTAGTAGGGATTATCTGTCAGCAACCGGAATTGCTGGTTTAACCTCCCCGGAGGGCAGGCTGCCTCTCCGCCACTGGCCTCTTCCACCTCACACCCTCTCTCCTGCTTTCCACTCTATTCCAAATTTCTTGGGAACTTCACCTCCCTTCCTACACACTCCGTCCACACACAGCCCCTCTCTTCATCAGCATCGCGGCAGCAGTATGGCCATTTACTCAGGGCCCAAGATGACAGGCACCACCACCAGCGAGCCCTCCCGGATTCCTCTGTGCTCCCGGCCAATCCATGAGGAGAATATCTTGTCAATTCCAGTTCCACTTTTTTTTTTTTTTTTTTTTTTGAGACAGGGTCTCACTCTGTCACCCAGGCTGGAGTGCAGCAGCTCGATCTCAGCTCACTGCAACCTCCGCCTCCTGAGTTCCAGCAATCCTCCCACCTCAGCCTCCCGAGTAGCTGGGACTACAGGCCTGCATCACCACGCCCAGCTAATTTTTTGTGTTTTTAGTAGAGACAGGGTTTCACTATGTTGGCCAGACTGGTCTCAAACTCCTGACCTCAGGTGATCTGCCTGCCTCAGCCTCCCAAAGTGCTGGGATTACAGGCGTGAGCCACCGCGCCCGGCCTATTCCTTGAGTTTAAACCATGCATCTTTGAAACGATTTGGTATGTGTCTTCCCCTTTAGAATGTGAACTCTCTGCCTGTCAGGAAGCCTGTTACCACCAATTGGATCGTCATTGTATTCCCAGATCTTGGATCGTCATCGTATTCCCAGATCTCGGGCAGGCCAGGTGGACACTAGCAACTGAGTCAACCTCAGTGCTTAGAGCCACGCTCTGACACCAAAAGACGTGTCTCTTTCTGGTGGTTAAGAGAACACCATTTGTCGGCCAGGAGCAGTGGCTTGTGCCTGTAATCCCAGCACTTTGGGAGGACGAGGCGGGAGGATCACTTGAGGTCAGGAGTTTGAGACCAGCCTGGCCAACGTGGTGAAACCCTGTCTCTACTAAAAATATCAAAAATTAGCCGGGCATGGTGGTGGGCGCCTGTAATTCCAGCTACTTGGAAGCTGAGGCAGGAGAATCGCTTGAACCCGGGAGGCAGAAGTTGTGGCGAGCTGAGATCGCACCGCTGCACTCCAGCCTGGGCAACACAGTGAGACTCTGTCTCAAATCTGTCTCCATCTCATTACCGGAGAGAGACTACAGCTAAGGCTGTGGGGACAGAGGGAAGGGACAGGGGAAGGGGCACGCCCTGGCAGGCCTGGCGGTCACAGTAGCCCCTGGTGGGAGGCATCTCGTCCCCTGCTGTGAACCCCAGGCCTTACCTGCAGCCTGCTTCCTCCCTTAGGCCCGGGGAGAGGCGGCTCTCGGAAGCCTCCCACCCACAGTTCCCGTTCCCATCCCCGGCTCCCAGGAAAGCCAAACAGGATTCCCACCACCAGGTGGTTGAAAACCAGCCCCGCTGACAAAGAGTTAAGTCGGCCCTCCTAGCAACTCCAAAAAACCAAGTTTAGGCGGCGCGACAGCAAAATCAAGCAGTTGGTTAGCAAAAGGATTGGGTGCAGATGGAGGGACCGTCTGGGCTACGGAGCCCACGGGCCTGAAAAGCAGTCGCTCCTGACCCGTCCTGCCCCCGCTCTGCACCGCCCTGTCGCGGTCCCCGGAGCAGGCCGGCGGGTGGCGGGAAGACACCGGGCTGCAGGGGGCTGGAGAGGCAACCCCTCCCTCCCTCCCCGCCAGAGCACTGGAGCGCGGGGACCTGGGCTGCGGATGCTGGCGGCGAGCCGGGTTGCTAGGCGACATCGGTGAGTGTGGGCGGGATGATACCGGGCGTGTGGGCAGGGCTGGAACCCAATCCGGCAGGCGGGGCTGGAGAGACAAAAACGGAAGGGCAGGCTGTCACCTGCATCTGCAAGGTCAGGGACAGGACAGGACGGAGAGGCGGCCGCTAAGATGCCCTGAGTCCCCCGGCCCAGTCACACTCAGCCTTGCAGGCAGCATCTCCCTGGCCAGGCTCAGGGGGCGTTTGGGAAAAGATTGGTGCCCGTCTTGTCCCGGGATGCCTCCCTGGTTTAGCTTCTGGGACAGAGAAGATGTTTCGGGTGATCGGATTAAGACCCACTGAAGGTCTTAATTAAGGTGGAGAAGCCACCCTGGGTGGAAAATGGTCCCTCCCAAGTTTTGCACATGAAATGCATTAGGTAGCATCAGCCAGGTGCGATGGCTTACGCCTGTCATCGCAGCACTCTGAGAGGCCGAGGCGGGCGGATCACCTGAGGTCAGGAGTTTGAAACCCCGTCTCTACTAAAAATACAAAAATTAGCTGGGTGTGGTGGCGCACGCCTATAATCCCAGCTACTCGGGAGGCTGAGGCAGGAGAATCGCTTGAACCCAGAGACCAAGGTTGCAGTGACCCGAGATGGTGCCACTGCACTCCAGC